AAAAAGAATCTGCTCAAAAGGTTCCAGATTTTTCTGCGATTCTTAACTGAGAATGGTTAACAATTATATTCCAAATAACAGCTTTATTCTATTTTTGTACAAATTAAAAGGTCTAAGAAGAAAATAAAGTATTCTAATTTATTTTTTCTTTCCTTGTTTTACATATTAAAATATATAAATGAATCTCCGCGTGTACAATAGTTCATCCTTATATATTCAATAAATGTACTATTTTTCCTGTTCTGCTGTTCTCTTACTACTTCATATGACGTATCATATTATATATAATACTTCGTATTAATGTATCAATACTTTTTTCCTTTTATATGTATGTTTTACAAAACTGTAATTAATGTAAGTAATGTTACTTTCTATAGATGCATTTGGCATATTACATTTGACATTAAACATATCATTTGTACGCATCTCTTGAAAAGATTTCTTTCCTCATTTAGAATGGATTGCTTATAATTGCAGAAAATACAAACAAAATTAAAATAATAATTAAATCCCCTCATTGCAGCGTTAACTTCATGATAAAAACTCATAGTTAATAAGTATATATTACAAGTATTTTATTTTTCAAATTTATATATACTAGTACAATACAAGCGCGCGCTACGCGCGCGCACTTATTATTGTAATTTAATAATTATAAAATCTAAATATTTAAAAAAAATTTTTTAATTTTAAATAACCGTCAAAATAACTTTTGCTCTCAAACTATCAAACTGCCAGAATAATCAAGATAACAATCAGCGTCGCAAAAAAGCGTCAACAATACTTTCGATACATTCGAGTATCGATTTTTTATGCCTTTTTTAAGAGTGAATTCAAGTAAATGATTTTTTTTATTTAAGTAAATATATATTAGAATCAAGTAAATATTTATTAGAATCAAGTAAATGATTTTTTATTCAAGTAAATATTTATTAGAAATTACCAAATATTTGGTAATTAAGACGAAGTGATTTAATCATTATTACCAAATATTTAGTAATTAGGACAAAGTGATTTAGTAATTATTACCAAATATTTGGTAATTAGAACAAAGTGATTTAGTAATTATTACCAAATATTTGGCAATTAGGACGAAGTGATTTAGTAATTATTACCAAATATTTGGTAATTAGGACAAATGGATCGATCATAATCCATTGTGGTAGATCCAACCATATTTTTATAGTTGGATCGACTATAATCTATTGTGGTAGATCCAACCATAATTTTATAGTTGGATCGACCATAATCCATTGTGGTAGATCC